CTTATGCTTATATATAGACCAATCAATTTCCTTATGCTTATGCGTTATGCTTTATGTAAAAGCTTGTGCTCTCGGCTTATGAACAAACCTCTCATATATACAGGGTGTCCTAAAAGTATGGAAACAGTCGAATATCTCGTCAGAAAAGTACTTTCGCTGAAAGCAGTAAATAGGATAGTTTTAGAGTGCAGTCTCATGAACTGATATTTTCAAGCGTAATACGTATTGCGTAACGTAATATTCAGATCTCAGTGTTCACATGGACACAAAATTTACGTAGCAAATTCATTAATATTATAATTTCCCATTCAACAATATAATTGTTACGTACAAAGCATGTTATATTGCAGTTACATTGTGGAGTGGGAAATTATAACTTTAACGTTATGTTACTGTTAGCTTTTGTTTACTGGGAATGTTCTTCATTAATTTCTTACACAAAAATAGCGAGCATAGCACGATTGTTAATTGTTCCAAATGTAGAAATAACACGCGTGACACATAGTTTATATAATTTTTTTTTTTAACAAACAGGTTTGTTGTTTTTATTTAAAATTAATTTTATAACAAATTTATAAAATTTTTTAAAATTAACTTTAGACGTTGAAGAATTGGAGACATGATCGTCTGTGAATCAACTGTCAGTGCAAAAGATTAAAAATTTTTTTTGTGTCGGACAAATAGTTTCTGCACAACATTGCATACACTAATGCTATATTTTGGGAAATAAGGATTTTTGAAGCAATTATTTTATATATAAATATTTATTATTAATTTTTTTTATGACTTTAAATATATAATTTATGTAAATATTTAAAATATAATAAAAGACACATTTTTTATTAACCTTTTTTTAAAAATACTTTAAAAATAATTCAGTAAAATATTTTTTATATTCTCGTGGTCAAGGTAGTCTTTTTTCTTAAAGTCAAATTCAATTAAAGTTTCATATGTAACAGCATACAAATGGGTACTATCAAATTGTATAGAACGTATATTCTTCCTATCATATTGATCAGAACGTATATTGTCATTTAAATAGGAATCGGGAGGTTTCGTAGGACTCATTTGATACATCTAAAAATTTTTAAGACAGTTAATAATATGTCACTAATAAAGTACAAGATACATAAAATCTGAAAGTAATACAAACTTGAATGGGAGCACTTTTTCTCTGATCCCATAAAATGACTTTACCGTTTCGTGTCCCCGTCATAATAGTGTATAAATAATCTGATGAAAAACATGTTAAGTTATCATAACCCCACTCTGGAATGGATGAAGTATCGCATATATGTACAAATTCGGATGTTCTGAAATCACAGTAGTGAATATAACTAAATTGAATGACCATTTAAGAGTCGTATTTATAGTCCGTTCTTATATTTAAGATCGTCTTAAAAATTATCTTAAGATGCTACGAACCAAATAGAAAGCCATATTAGTGTCTTAAGACGACGACGACGATAACTTAGGACGATCTTAAACATAAGAACAAACTATGAATACTGCACTTAGTGTTAATAATAAAGTTATTAATTCCAGTGAATTCTATACCCAGCATACACAGAACATAGCAGCAACATTGTGGCAATGTTGCAACATTGCAGCAATATTATTGCAATATTGTAACATTGCCGCAATGTTACTGCAATGTTCTGTTTTTGCTGGGTACATACTGGAATAAGCACCGCCGTTAAAGCCAGCCGAGCTTGTTTGTGAGACAAAAAACTGATAGAGTAACAGTGAAGGCATTCTCTGCTATGGAGATTATTATTTTTCCATTTAGATAATGTGCGAAACAAAATAAACATTGCCACATAAATTTTTTCTCTCTCGGTTTGGAATGATTAGGCAAATTTTTACTTGGTGCTCATTCCAGTATGTATAGTGTTCACTGGTTACCTCATATCTATCTTTTTAATATAACCCTTATTCAAAGTGAGAATAGTGTGAGGATCCTCCCATAGTAATAGGCCAAAAAAATCATCATATTTTTTCTCCATTACCTGATAACTAAAATGCCTTTCATTAGTTTGTAGCTCTGTGAAGTCAGACTACCAAAATTAACTCTTCTAATTTTCAACAATTGTAGCTAATTGTTGGTTGTGAGTTTAATTGTTATTAACAAAATAAATATCAGTGTGAAGTTAGCTTACTTAATAAAAATTTTAAATTTTTTTCAATTCTTACACGTCAAATCGATACAAAATCAATTGTTGGTCTTAATTGTGTCTTTTAAAATGTTTGTTGGTGGATTATTTATTAATTATAACAAAATAATAATTTGTAATAACGCAGCTATTATTTCCAGAGTGACTAACTTCACGGTTGAAAGTCGCGCATGTGCAGTATGTGCGCAATTAAAAATTATTATTTGTTATAATTAATAAATAATCTACCAACAATCATTCTAAAAGGCACAGTTAGTACCAATAATCGATTTTCTATCGATTCGGCGCATAAGAATTGAAAAAAAATTAAAAATTCCTATTTATGGTTAAAAATTGTCTTTAAAAGAAATAGAATTTTTCGAAGAATTGTTTTTAGTTCGGGTTTTACAATACAGATAATCGTCGCTAGCCAATCAAAAATTTGCGAAGAATACAAACACTCCCCGACAATATATCTCTTTCTTTTGGCCAGTGGAACCAGCCCCATTCCTTCAAAACCATTTGCAGTATGTTATATAGCTCATTGGTACAAATATAGTCAATGTTTAATCAAACATCTGTAGAAAACGATTAATTAATTTATACTTTATATGTATTTTACCTTTTATCAATATCATAAATTAGAACCGAGCAATGACCCGATTCAATGATATTAGCAGCAAATTTTGTTCCTATAGGGTCAAATAAAATTGAAGTCACAAGAGAGTGGTTCCTATAAAATAATTCGTTTCTTTCCACACAACCATCTGTTTCATATGTATTTTTCTGTATCTAAATAAAAACGGATTTTTTACATACTACAACATAGCATTATTGCAATTTTTTAAAATCTTACTTTTACTGAAACTTTTTCGGTTGCATCGAAAAATTGACAACTTAATATAATATGTTGCGATGTTGCATCTAATCGATAAATGTAATCATCATTTACAATGCTAGATATTTTTAATTGTGTAAGATAATTTGTATTTTTTTTCCGTGATTGAATTCTCCAGAATCTGAGACTACCATCTCTGCAAAAATTTTGTTATAAATAAAAAGAAATAAACATAACAAAGTGTATAAATAAATACTCACCGATGGCTACTTATAATTACGTCATTGCAATAAGTAATGTCTGCAATAATAGAGTTGCAATTTTCGACAACCTTCTTTTCTAAAGTACCGTTCTTTGTGCGGTTATAAGCCATAAGACTCTCACTACCGTGAAACACAACCGCATTTTTAGTCATTTGTAGGCCACTGTTACGACCAGTAAACGTTAAAGGTATTTCACATACTTTACTTTCGACATATATTCCATTATTCCAGTTGCAATGCGTAATAAATTTAGAGATATACGAAGATAATAGTGGTTTACATCTGTAAAAAAATAAAACGTATGTTTTTCAATGGGATTTTATGTAAAATCCAAGCAAACACAAAGTAACAGTAACATAACATTAATGGTATAATTTCTCACTCAATATAACTGCAATGTGACATGTCTTATACGTAACAGTTACGTTGTTGGGTGGGAAATTACTTTGTGTATGCTAGGATCGAGAATACATTATCTTCTGAAAATATGTAAATATTAAAATGTATTTTAAAAAGACATGGTTAAAAAATTAAATCAAGTTTTGCATAACTAAAGACACGACAAAAATTTCCAATTTGAGAGTAATATATGAAATGTTTTATCAACAAATATTGTATTATATTTAAAAAAAATATTTTTGTTATTCAAGAACACTTTTCTATTAATATTTTTAACTAGACAAATTTGGATTAATTTGGAAGTAATTAGTAATGCCATTGCATCATCTCTGTTAATATAAAATTTAAGTTTATATTAAAATAGCGAATAATTGCTAGCATATTGCTACAAATCCATT